AGTGAATATTATGTTTCAGTATTAAAATATATAAGTAAAATATATTGGCAGATTTAATTAATATGTCGTGCTTACTATATTTTATTGGTTAAAATTGCCTTGCCCAGTTTACAACAAAAAGGTTTTCAAGGACCCAATTTAAATTTGCCCATGGGAACTTATGATTTCCCAGTGATAGTACCAAAGACACAAATAAAGGAATTGATGGGTCAGTGGGGGAAATATAACAATTAGCTTTCAGCCCCTTATGTTTATACAATTTCATTTTTTTTTTTTATAAATATGTGATTATGATTTACCTTATATATTATACTATTATATTTCTATGATTAATTTTTTTTTTTATATATATTTGGTTATGATTTAGGAGTTATATAATGATATTATATTTTGCCTAAACAACCTATATCATTACAATAACAAAATTAGGAACTAATAATTTATATGACTGTAGGTAAAAAAATAACATCCCGGAGGGTATTCGTTTAAAAAGGTTCGTTTACCTGACATGGTGTACCTTACCGAGTATTATTATATGGGTATGACAAAATACATATTTTGTGGTGCCAGTTTAAATAATGGTGCTGCGCCTATCGTTAAAATTTGTAACGCAATAGGTAATATAGTACATTATCTGTTTTATATTTGGATGTAAGAGGAACGATAAAATATGTATTGCTCGTTTTCGTGATTTTCGTGACGATTTTTTTTTATAAGCATTTAAAGTTAAAAAAAATTGACAAAATTTGGAAAAATCACGAAAATTAGCAAATTATTTTGAGTTAAGAATTCGTAAAAATTTTTCTGTTTGAATCAAAGGTTTTAAAATGTTATACAAGTTTCCTCATAAGTTTGTCTACCTTTATCAAAAAAAAAATGTGTACAAGAAACTCAAATTAAATTTTTATGATCGTTTGAAATTCATATTTTTACAACATTTGATATTCACTCGATTTCTCATGTAACGATTTTCTTAATTTATTGTAATTAAAAAACGAATGACTGTAAATATTTGACAATTTCATTGAATGTTTATAATAGCATTTTCTATACACCATAAAATTTCTAGAATAATTTGACTGTGTTTGAGCTTTTTACGGACATTGTTGTTTTTCATTATTTTTAGTTTTTTTTTCTATAAATACCAATAAAATTTTATTTGTTTTGTAAAAAGAGTGAAAATTTAATGCAATTTTCACTGGTTGTTTATCTTTGCATTTCATGTACACGATAACATTTTCAAAATATTTGATTATTTGAACTGTTTAGGGACATTTTCATTTTCCATTTTTTTTAGTTTTTTTTCTAATAATATCAATTAAATTTTATTTGTTGGTTGCGAAAGCTTGAAAATTTAATATAAGGCTCCTAGTATATTGATTCAAACGCATATGAAAAATATTAAAAATCCTTAGTCACAATTTTTTTTATAAGCATTTAAAGTTCAAAAATTGACAAAATATGGAAAAATCACAAAAATTAGCAAATTAATTTGAGTTAAGAATTCGTAAATATTTTTCTTTTTAAATCTAAGATGTGAAAATATCATACAAGATTCCTTATAAGATTATCTACCTTTATCAAAAAAAAATGTCTATGAGAATCAAATTTTGATGAGCGTTTGAAATTCAAATTTTTACAACATTTGATATTCACTCGATTTCTCATGTAACGATTTTCTTAATTTATTGTAATTAAAAAACAAATGACTGTAAATATTTGACAATTTCATTGAATGTTTATAATAGCATTTTCTATACACCATAAAATTTCTAGAATAATTTGACTCTGTTTGAGCTTTTTACGGACATTGTTGTTTTTCATTATTTTTAGTTTTTTTTTCTATAAATACCAATAAAATTTTATTTGTTTGGTAAAAAGAGTGAAAATTTAATGCAATGCCCCTGATACATTGTTACAATAGCAGTTAAAAAATATTAAAATTACATAGTCATGATTTTTTTTTATAAGTATTTTAAGTTGACATTTTGACAAAATTTATAACATTTAAAATTGAATAATAATTTTGTAGTTAAAAATTTATAAAATGTTCAACTTTTATAGCTAAGGATTGAAATATTAAAACAAGATTCCACGTAAATAGTTTATATATAAATTACTTTATTCACCTAGTATCATCAAATATACTTCGTAATATCATATGCTGACTGACCGTTTTCGCTCATAATCGTTTTTCTTATACAATGATATTACATTCATATTGAATTCAAATTCAACACCATCCATTACACATTACAGTGACCCACTTGTAACCTACTGTACAGCAGAGCGACATTTTTTGGTATAAATGTAATAAATATAAGATTAAAAAATATAATTACAAGAAAAATATGGATCATGACAACTAACCTGTTCGTCTTTCTAATCAAACAAAGTTTTACATAATCGTATAATTTTATTAAAATATTATTCTCTATTTGGTTGACGTAAAAGTTGAAATAATATCTATTAAGACTGTTATCTTTATGTACTAATATTGTATTATGCTTTATCCAGTTATAATCAACGAAATATTTAAAAATAATATATAAAATAGTACTTTAGTATGGGGTTATGTCGACATTGGCCACATATTATCTATATCCACGACATTGCCCATTTCTAAATCAATTAATAAAGTTTATAAATGTAGAAGTTTTTTTTTTTTTTTTTTTGTCATATTTGTTTTTATTTGTACAATCTGTATAAAAAAAAAATATTTACAATAAGTACAATGGAGATAATGATAATATTGGTAATTGGACATGGTTGACTTGTTGAAGAGACTATTCATTAATAGCACTTCATGGTAAATGTAGAAGTTACTAACAATATTCTCAATTGAATGTTATTATTAGGTTGTCATAAAAAAGTCAAGTTCTTTAATTATTAAAAATTGTTTATTTTAAATTTTAGTTTTTGGCCAATGTTAAACCAAAGAAATTTTATTATTTTTTCTGGAGAGCCAATGTCTAACTAAAACGTACGTATTTATACTAAAAAACAAAATAAGAGTCATACAATGCAATAAAAACAAATGTAATTAAGTAACAGAACTTTTAGAGTTCCAATATAAAATTTTAGAATTTTTATCTAAATTTTAAAAGTTAGCCAGTTTAATATTTTAAATTCCTGAACATTGTCAAATTATGAGATGGAACCTTCTTGTACCAAGCCACAGAATTACAAAATTTGACTTCTAATTAAGATGATTAGATATTAAAAAAATTGAAATGAACATACTAACATTTTATTTTCGAGACTCAACTTACCTAGTATTTAACTTTTTTTTCCAGGACTCAAATTATTTATTACCTTTTTTTTCAGGGACCCAATTTACCGAGATAAGGTAATTTGGGACATAATTTACCAATCTCGCATAATATGTATCGAACAGTTGTATTTTTTAAATTCAGTTAAATCACTGTAAAGTTTGTGATGATGATAAAATACTGTATAAAAATGTACATAGCTATATTATTGATGATCAATTTTTCTGTTTACTGACTGTATATTATAATATTATAATATTTCTATTATTTTATTATTTTCTAATTTAATTAAACACAATAATCACATTAAGATCTCATAACTAAATTTGATTATATATATTTTCTAAACAGAATACAAACAAAAAATACAATTATACATTAATGTATAACTATATATTTGAACTTGAATTCTCTTGTAAAATACATTTTGTGCTTACGAACGTAATCAAACTGCCTATAGTTTAAAGCACTATTTTGGTTTTTAATTTAAATTTTTTTAATTTTATTCTTGTTTGTTCTGCCTCTTAAAGATATTCCTTGATTGTTCTTACTTTTTCCCATGTTAAAGATGGATTATGTGCTAAACAAAAATTACAACTCATGTTATATCTGTATTATGTTTCTTTATTTACCAAACTTAGTTTCGTTTTTTAAAATTTTTTTTTTTATTGTTATTTGTAATACAATTTAATTTTTAATTTTGCACAAAACATCTCTGAGTATTACTTTATAAATGGGTATGTGAATAATTTTCCATATAAATCCATATAAAAAAAAAAATGAAAATTTTGAATGGCATTAATATAATATGAGTTATGAATTATGATAATAGATAAAATAATATGGTTACAAATGTTTTGATATTTAAAATAAAACGACTATTGCATGTTTAAACCAAATATTTTAACACATAAATAAACTTGAATTAACATATTATTTTTGCCTTAAATATAAAATGTTTCACTATTACATTATAATTTAAACAAATACATAATGAACATTTTCAAATTTAGTAGTTGAATTATAAACATAAATTGATACAGAAACATTTTAAGATATTTTTATTTATTATTACATTAATGTTCCATAGGCGGAAATCTACAGAACTTAAGACGTGCTTCGTAAAATGCAATTATTTCTTGTGGATACAGAAGATTGAATTGTTCTGCTAATATTAGCTGAGGTTCTTCAATGTCTACAAACTTAACAACAATTGTTAATTTTTCATCAATCTCTTGGGATGTTAAGATTTCTTCGATGATTTTACATGCTGGTGCAGTTGTCGAAACTGGTGTGGTTTCCGAAATTTGTGTAGTTTTGTCATCATTTTCTCTGGAATAAAAATACATCAATATGCTAATAATAATATATCAAAATAGTTGTACAATTTATTTTAAATGCATTTTAATGCTGCATTTTACATCAAAAAAGATCATGCAAATATTACCTATGGGCCATTATGTTATAACTTCGTCAGCATAATAACTAAACTATTTGTTTTTTATACGCATCACCAATAGAAAAAATAAGAATGATTTCAGATAAATGTGGAAATCATAGGTAAGTAAATTAATATTTTTAATTTTAATTTAAAGTACTTTTTGTTTATTTTTTTAAAAATAAACAATTTAAGTTTATTCCACGAGCAGTGTTTTATACAGTAAACCATTAATTTCTATTAAAGCCTAGATAGATTAGTAGGGAGCGTGTCAAAAGCAGGAAAAAAATGAACAGGAAAAAAATTGTTCCTTATGTTAAACAACATGGTTAGTCCACAATAGAACATACTTTAAGTTGTCTTATCTAGGGACAAATGAATGTTATTAAACATAAATTTAAATGTAAATCAACAGTTTAAAATATAATTGAAACTATATACGAATATGATATACCACAATTATTGTTTGAAATAAATTATGGCTAAAATTCACTTTACCAACCCTTTTAAATTTTTTTTAACGATGGTGTACATTTTTTTACCGGAATTTTAAGTCTGTGTGCTTGCGCGCAACGCTACTTGACTGCCACGCGCAGCACCTATAACAAATTTTTTTTTTATAGGTAACCATTATCGATTAGTATCAAGATGATTGCTTTTTAACAATATTGTTGAATTCCGAGGCCTACCCAAGGTAAACGCTACAAATCGAGCGATATTTTCGATTTTTTGTCCGAGCTCAGCGCACTCTTTTTGATACATTCAGCTAATGAAAAATGAAGCATTACGAGTATTTATGTGTTATAATAATATAATATGAACTGATAACTTCGATAATTGAAACACCACGGCCGATGTTTAGTCGACATCTATAACATCGCCCTGGTCGCCGGTGTCGACTACTCGTCCACAGATAAAGTGTTCACTTTGAAGGTTCATCATTTTGATTGGCGATGAGATAACGTTTTTAAATATATTATAGGCGATCAGGTACTGTCTCAAGAATCTAATGGTATAATTGGATTTTATTTTTTGTTTATTTTTCATGTATGTATTTGTTTTTTACCCGAAATTACAATGTCTTCGATAAAAATAACATAACATATAATACTCTATTATTGTTGTTACGTCTGGATATAATTATTTTAATAACATTAATAACCCTTTAACGTAACATATTATCTTCGGATGTATACAGAGTGTCCCTTCAATATACAGAATGATTGAAAAATATTAAATTATTTACATCACTAATTATTGAATTTATTTTTGAAATAAAAATCATTACGAGCAGTACCATCAGTATTTATATTTTATTTACTTCTACTCTTTAATTATTTATACAGATTAATTATACAGATTGCAGAGCGCGGTTCGCCGGGGTCAACGCATAGTCGACCGGATGTATTTTCAGCTCGGCGATACGGGCTACGCACCGATAATAGCCGCGGAGCTCAACGTGTTAAAGTTTATTGATTAATACATAATATTATACTGATATACGCATATAAAACAGCGTGTGTGTACCAGGGACGGCTACAATTGGAGCCCTAGGGGCCGTGCCCCCCCCCCAAAGCTGTATTTCTAAACAATTTTATATTGTTAAAAAAAAAATTACAAAAAAAATTATCGAAATTGAAAGAAAATTATGACCTGCCCCCTAACCATGTCTCTAGAGCCACTCTTGGTGGGTACGCCTATACTTATACACCATAGACGTAGACATATAGGTCTATGTTATTCACAAGTATTAAAGTAGCACATGCAGCGATTGGCTTAGGTACACCGACAAAACTGAAGGGGGCGCAGAGCAAGTATAATGGTGATCGTATGCGTGCGGAGAGAGATCGCCGAGCTGAGGCAGATTCGCAGATTGAGCCAACGAGCCACAGTCGGTCTCTCTCCCGTACCTCGCCACTAGATATGTTACATCAGAAACCTAAATATAACTGGTTTTCAATATTTATTAAAAATCGGTGAAAATCATTTATTAAATGTTTAGTGTGTTAGGAAAATTTATTCAGAGTTAAAGCATATAAATACAACATTTTTTTTTTCAATATTTAAGAAATACATTTAACCATTACATTATTTATATAAGGTTGACTTTTAAATGTTTATTTCAAAATGCGAAATTATTCAAAAAGTTATTTGTAATTGTTAATAGAACATTTTACACTTAACCATTGGTCAAAATATAATATTTAATAAATATGTTAATTTTTGTTAAATACATTTTCATGTTGCGTGGGTAAGGGATACGTTTTTAATACTTTTATTTTATTTCGTGAAAATCTCCATTATTCACTGTCTGTAACGAGCTCTGACAGTGTGGAGACAGCGAGCGCAAACAATGAATATGGCGTGTAAAAACCTCGGTTCAAGTCTTCGGCAGGTAAATAAACGTGCATGTAAGTAAATATTAGTCGTTACTAACCTCACAGACATGATGGATGAATGGCTTGCGAATGAAACTGTGTCAATGAATCAATGTTAGGCGTCTGGGTATTCAAATCGACTACACAGCTCCCCGGAAAGTTAAGTATGTGACTGGAACAACGATGAATGCTTCGGTGGTTATGTAATTTGTTTAGGAACTTCGAACTGGAAAAGACCAAACAACTCTGGACATACACTCAAACAACATGCTATGCACATAAAGGCACTGTACCTCCTAGGTTATGATACGTTGCAAGCGTTCATTGGTCCCCCACCACTACACATCATCTTCCGTTATAACACCGCTACCCCACCTACTAAGCCATCACCACCGCCATCTGCAGCTGCTACACAGTGGTTTTCATTATGGCATTACATTTATAAACACCCGTGTATACAGTATGGGCATATACAGGGTATCCCGTGAGGAAATACCCATTAGCCGCAGATGAGGACTCACCACCCGGACAAAAACTTGTTTTTTGCCATTTTACATATAACTATATAACTAAAAAAATTATTAAAAATCATGAGATTAATGAAAATTAAATGTTTAAAAGTCAAAAATTTCACAAAAATAAACTCTATAGAATGGCTATCTTCAATTGCTTCAAAAATACTGACAACAACTAGATTCACTTTACCATCGATGCAAATACTTTTCCTGTAGATAGACACAAATAAAAATATCATTTCAACATCTATACATTCATGGCTCTGCTCAGAATCTAAGATGTTAAAAATAATAAACCAATTTAAAAAAATAATCTATGAAAAAAAGTTATTTTGTGTTAATTATCAAAATATTTTGACTCGTTTTGAGCTGTTTAACGACATTTTCATTTACAAAGTTATTTATTCTATACATATCAATACAATTTTCTTGGTTGAGTAAAAAAGGTTGAAAATTTAAAAGAAGGCTCCTAGTAGGTATATTGTTTCAAAGGCAGATAAAAAATACTAAAAATCCTTAGTCACAATTTTTTTTTATAAGCATTTAAAGGTCAAAAATTAAAAAAATATGGAAAAATCACGAAAATTAGCAAATTATTTTGAGTTAAAAATTCGTAAAAATTTTTCTTTTTAAATCTAAGGTTTTAAAATGTAATACAAGATTCCTTATAAGATTATCTACATTCATTAAAAAACCAAGTGTATAAGAAAGTCAAATTAAATTTTTATGAGCGTTTGAAATTCAAATTTTTACAACATTAAATATTCACTCGACTTTTCATGTAGCGATTTGATTTTTTTGTTGTAATTCAAAAACAAATAACTGTAGATACATGAAAATTTCCCTGAATGTATATACACAATACAATTTTGAAAATATTTTGACTCTTATTGAGCTGTTTACGGTCATTTTCAGTTTTCAGTGTAAAAATTTAATACAAGGCTACTGATTTATTAACAATAAATATAAAATAAACATCAGTTGAAAATATTAAAAATAAATATGCTAAGTTTATTTTTTTAATAAGCATTTCATGATCGAATATTAACAAAATTTATCAAATTTAAAAATGAATAATTATTTTGTAGTTCAAAATTTATAAAATGTTCAGCTTTTATATCTAAGGATTGAAAATTTAGTAAAAGATTTCACGTAAGTAATTAATTCTGTAACCAAAAAATCTAAAAAATAAATAAGCACAGTTTATTTTTATAATAATTTTAAGTTAAAATTTGGACGAAGTTACATAAAAAAAAACCTAGCATACCTATTTTAGTTATTTTGTTGTGAGTGTATAATACTATTCGTGGGTACTTGAAACTTAGAAAATAGGTACACTATTATATTATACTATACTATCTATAGTATCAGGATTTGTGGTTGAATCTCAACAATTATCAATCATTCTAATTAATAAATTATAAAATGTTCAGTTTTTATAGCTAAGGATTGCAAATTTAAAACAAAGGTTCTCATAAATAGTTCATACTGTAACCAAAAAATTTAAAAAATATATGAACAAAGTTATTTTTTACTGACATTTTAAATTCAAATTTGGATGGAATTACATATTAAAAACCTAGAATAACTATTTTAGTTATTTTGTTGTGATTATGTAATTTTATTCGTGCGTACTTGATACTTCTTAAGTACACTATTATATATCTATGATAGTATCAGGGTTTGTTGTTGGTGTATAACGCGTTATAAGAACCTAATGGATATTTTGATATGATTAATTTGGAATTAATTATAGGTACATTTTTTTTAATACCATAGTTAAGTATATATTATGTCTTATACCTAGACTGACACACCGTCTCCACTTAGAATCGTTTTTCTTATACAATGATATTTTATCATTGAATTCAAATTTAATACCATCCATTATACAGTGTCCCACTTGTAACCTCCAGTACAGCAGAGCACCTTTTTGTTGTTGTTGTTATTCAAGAACGAATATATTGTGGATACATATAAATGTCACTGAATGTTTATATTATTTTTAATTTTCTATAAAATATACAATTTTGAAAATATTTTGATTTTTATTGAGCTGTTTACGGACATTGTCAGTTTTCTTTTTTTGGTTTGTTTTTTCTATAATTTTAAATACAAATCTATTTGTTATTAAAAAAAAGTATATAATTGCAGTATAATTGTAATGTTTTAAAATATTTTAATTTAGCTATTGATAGCTATTACAATTGTCGATTTACAACAATGAATTTTCAATGAAAACAATTCTAAAAAAAATGTAAATTTTAGATATTATACGTCTTAAGATTGCTATAAAATGCTTACTAGAAATAAGAGTTACCGGCATTCTTGTGGTTTTGGTGGGGGGGGGGTGGCACCCTAGACTGCCGTAAATTAACACATGATGACAGGGGAGGGATCTCACAATTACGGAATAATATTATTGTAACCATAGAACCGTAACGTGTATTATATAATTATTATAATTTTCGTAACCATGGCCTATGGCTAAAATTATTTATTCTGTCAAAAATACTTGAAATCAATACAGGTACCTATGATTGTACGACAAAAAAAAAATTAATACAAAATATAATATTGTGAACGCAATTACACTAATGTCTAATAGTCAAAGTTCATAGTTAGCTTAAAATTAATCCAAATATTTTGATTGTGTCATTGTGATAGTTTTAAAATTTTAGTGGTTTTGTTAAATTTTGTCAAAATTTGAACTTCACAACAGTTATAAAAATAAATGTGTATATATACTTTTAATATTTTTAATTCTAAAATCACAACTTATGTTGGATCTTGTATTATATTTCTGAACTATTTTACTGAAATCAAAAACTTGCATTTCAAATATTTTAAATGAAGCAATGAAATAAGGTGGGCTAGTGGGTGTCGCTCTGCTGTACAGAAGGTTACAAGTGGGTCACTGTATAATGGATGGGATTACATTAGAATTCAACGATATAATATCATTGTATAAGAAAAACGATTCTGAGCGAAGACGGTATGTCAGTCTAGGTATAAGACATATTATATACATATCTATGGTATTAAACAAAAAATTTACATATAATAAATTCCAAATGAATCATATCACAATATCCATTAGGTAATTATAACACGTTATACATCAACAAAAATCGTGACACTATCATAGATATATAAAAGTACACTTTAGAAATTTCAAGTACCCACGAATAATATTATTCAATCACAACAAAATAACTAAAATAGTTATTCTAGGTTTTTTAATATGAAATTTCGTAAAAATTTGAATTTAAAATGTCTGTAAAAAATAACTGTGTTCATATATTTTTTAGATTTTTTGGTTACAGTATGAACTATTTATGAGTACCTTTGTTTTAAATTTGCAATCCTTAACATTTTATAATTTATTAATTACATTGATAATTTTCGAGATTATGATAAATTTTGTCAAAATTCGATCTTTAAATGCTTATAAAAAAAACTGTGCCTATGTATTTTTAATATTTTTCAACTGCTATTGTAATAATATATCAGGAACCTTGTATACATTTTTACACTTTTTGGCCCTACAGATAAAACTTTATTGATATTTATAGAAAAAAAAACTAAAAAAATTGAAAACTGAAAATGTCCGTAAACAATTAAAAAAGAGTCAAAATATTTTCAAAATCGTACAGTGTATAGGAAATGCTAATATGAACATTTAGTGAAATTTTCATGTATCTACAGTAATTCGTTTTTGAATTACAACAAAATAATTAAATCGCTACATGAGAAATCGAGTGAATATCCAATGTTGTAAAAATTTAATTTGACATTCCGGTAGAGATTTTTTTATTGATAAAGTTAGACAAACTTTTGAGTAATCTTGTATTACATTTTCAAATCGTAAATTTAAAAATAACAATTTTTACGAATCTTAACTCAAAATAATTTGCTAATTTTCGTGATTTTTCCATATTTTGTCAATTTTTGAACTTTAAATGCTTATAAAAAAAAAATTGTGACAAAGGATTTTTAATATTTTCCTTCTGCCTTTGAAACAATATACTAGGAGCCTTCTATTAAATGTTCAAGCTTTCGCAACCAACAAATAACAAATTATTGATATTTTTAGAAAAAAAACTAAAAAAAAATGGAAAATGAAAATGTCCCTATACAGTTCAAAATAAATCAGAATATTTTTAAAATGTTATCGTGTACAGAAAATGCAAATATAAACAACCAGTGAAAATTTCATGTATATGTAATATGTATGTATATATGTATATGTTCATTTGTTTTAGAGTTACACCAAAAACCAAAATCGATTTTTTGGAAAACCGATTTTTCGTAAAAATTCCTGTTTTTCCTTAATTTTTATCTTGTTTTTCTTGGCGCTTGTGAAAACTACTAGGGAATTTTTACTTTTCACCCCCCAAAGTACCAACTAGATTCACTTTCCTATAACATTTTTGAGAATCATTTAGCATTAACCAGAGGTGATTCTCATTGTTTTCTCACTTATTTAAAAATTAAAACAAAAAATAATGAAACATTTTAAATGTCTTACAACTTTAAATGTCAAGAAATTATC